TGCAAGCGAAAATCTGGACTGGGTTTCTGAGTTATCGCTACTATCGTACTTCCATTCAATGCTAAATGTAGTTTGATTGTGGTCGCTACACCCAGTTCCTCTGAAATTTCTAAATTTTAACAATGGGATTCATTGTTGCCAAACTAAGTCAAGAGGGTTTTTTCCCTGTAGTTTTGTCACAAACTGCTTTAAAAAACAATCCTGAAACTACTTCTAAGAAGTCGTTATTGATTTCTAAATTCCCAGTCAAGAAATTCCAATCAAAATTTACTAAAGTTTAAAATCTCCTAGAAATTACTACATTTATCGTGCCTTGTGGCCTTAACAATTTCCTCCCATAGTGTCTCCCTTGGTCCCTAAGTTTGGGGACGGTATTCACACCTAAAATCATTTTTCATGCCCCTCTGAAAAATTTTTATCCAAACAGACTCTTTTATGTGTTACTTCAACTTAATACCAGTTTTTATGCAACAGTTCAAGCGATCTCGGACATACAATGCCACCCCACCCCCCTTCCCGATTTCTTCTATCTACTTGGAACAATTTAAAACCCTGAATGTGACATTCCGCAGGCATGTCCCGACTTTTTGAATTAAACCACGTCTCATTAAGGCAAATACATCTAAAGCTACCTGCACTAGCAACTAATCTCAACTCGTCCCCTCTTATTCCTAGCACTAAAGGCTATTAGCATAAAACATTGAAAGGCTCTCCTTTCTCTTTACCCTTCCTGCTCGTTTCTGTTTTTCTACTAAACCTATTACTGTCCTTATCACCCAGTGTCACTGGCTTTTCAGTATCTACCTCGTTCTGCTTATTACTAGTTTCCCTAGAACTCATAATATTTTCTACCTGGGAATTCACTGTTTTTTCTGCCAAAACCCATACCACTAACTATTCCTAGTTTAAAGTTCCTTAACAGCTCCCTCCACTGCGTTGGCCAGTGCTCCCACCCCAGACCTGGATAAGTGAACCCCATCCCTGGCATACATGTCATTTCTGCCATAGAAGAGGTCCCAGTTGTCAATGAATGTTACCGCATTTTCCTTACAGTATTTGTCCAGCCAGCAATTGACACCAATTGCCCTGGACAACCATTCATTTCCAACTCCTCTCCTTGGCAAAATACCACATATGACAGGGTTCCCACCCTTCCTCCTTGTCAGTGGAACGCCTTCCAACTGAACAAAAGAAACTAATGGAAAAATAAATAAAGAAATGATTTAGGAAAAACAAGAAAAATGATTTTTGAGAATTTTACTTAAAATTTAAATATAAAAAAAAATGGCCTTCAGTTCATGTAGTTGGGTAGGAGTAGGTATGGCCCTGGATAGTTCCTCTGATGTTATTTATGTAGGTTATCCTGGGCAGATGGTAATCCGATGTTCTGGAATCTCCTACCACTTGGATGGAGCACAAGTAGAATAGGTAAGGGCCGGTAGTTGTAGAATAATGTTAATAAGTATTATTAACACACGTCTTGCCCCTTTATCTGGCGTCTATCCTGGAAGACCACGCCAGGAACAGAGCTGACAAATAAGAGAAAATAAAACTGGTTACCCATAGTCATGATAATATAACATTTAAGAAAGAAAAAGAATGATAAATGTCAAAATCATTACTGGTAACCAGCAAACACTAGAAAAGAACAAACAGTAATACTCCTGGTAGATCACCCTACCTGATTAGGAGAAGAGTGGAGCGAAGTGACTCTCCAAACTTCAATCCACACCAGGTAAGGTCAATATTACCAGGAGTAGAAACTTTAACAAATCGGACACCAGGAACTAGTTTTGCCCCAGCCCGCCAGAGAGGGGGGGGTGTGTGCGCGCGCAACGTAACTCGCTAATGGTTCCTGGGTGCCCGAACAACCTTAACCCCACTTACACCTACTTTTCCCTCACACTCCTAATTATTTCTATTGCTGACCTATACCTGCTAATCAGGTCTTCACTCCTACGTCTGCCAACATCGTTGCCTCCAGCACTGAGACAGATAATAGGATTGCTCCCATTATCTCTCATGATGTCATCCAGTCAGCTAACAATATCCTCCATCCCAGCCCCGGGAAAGCAAACCCTCTGTCTCCTACTCCTGTCCTTCAAGCAGAACGCCCTATCCATGTACCTAACTTGGCTATCCCCAACAACAACAATATTCTTACCTTCCTTGGTGTCGTTCGTCGTGACGTTCCAAGTAGTCGACTCGCATTCGTCGGGTAGCACTGAGAATGTATTAGATGTTTTCCACAACAGTTTCCACAGCCGTCTCTTTCTTCTTCATCGTTTCTACCTTTCCGTTCGTCTTCTTGATCGTCAACTTCGTTCCCTGCTGTCCAGCCACTGACCAGTTTCCCTTCTTGACCTGAGGACTCACAACAGAAGGACTACTACGAATCTTCTTGTTTTCCTCGGTCAGTCGCTGAATCTCCATCTTCGCCATCCTCAATTCTTCCTTAAGCTGTTGGTAAAGTTGCTCGATGGAGGGCATCTTGCTTCAATGCGTAGAGAGCGCACAAACAGGTCTTCACAGAGCTAAGTACACGTCACCCAGGTAGCAGCAGCACTCGTAGCAGAAGTAACTAGTAGCAACAACAGCGGCGGTAGCAGCAGCACTAGTACAGTAACACTATCAACATCAGCAGTAACACTAGTAGCAACAGCAGATCTAGAGATCTAGTAGTAACAGCACTAGCAGAAGCAGCAACAGCAGCACTAGCAGAAACAGCAGCAGCAGCACTAGCAGAAACAGCAGCAGCAGCACTAGCAGAAGAAGCAACAGCAGCACTAGTGGCAGCAACATCAGCAGTTGTACAAGAAGGAGCAACACTAGCAGCAGTAACAACGCCATTAATAAAAACATCAGCACTACAGCAGTAACAACAACAGTAACCTAACACCACCATCACTAACGACAAACACGTTTCGCTCTGTTTAGAGCCTTCAAAGCTGGTTAATAAGAACATAAGAACATAAGAAAGGAGGATCACTGCAGCAGGCCTGTTGGCCCATACTAGGCAGGTCCTTTACAATCCATCCCACTAACAAAACATTTGCCCAACCCAATTTTCAAAGATCTCCAAGAAATAAGGTCTGATAATTCTATCCACTCATTTGCAAGTCCCACTCAAATCCAACCCCTCTCACTCATGCATTTATCCAACCTAAATTTTAAACTACCCAAAGTCCTAGCCTCAATAACCCTCTGTTATCTTTCAAGCCTTTAGAAGTGAGACGAAAGAAATGCCCCATGGTATACCACAGGGAGGAGTTCTAATTCCCATGAAATGTAATGCCTTAAGTTATGCTCTCCCTACCTCACACAAACATACAGCTATGCTCTATCCTGATGACATCATGATTTATACAACATGGTGTGAAATTACTAATAAAAATATAGAGTAGAAAACTGAGCCTTAAATTCACATATTTCACAGAATCCTAGACAGGGGTTGAAATATATGGGTCAATCAGTCTCCTGAATTTCTGTATTCATTTGGGATAATATTGAGCAGTGTTCATTACACTCTAGTCATCATTCTTAATAAAATATTCTTCATAAAGTTCAGATGATATACGATTAACTAGGCCTCGTTAAGTCTTCGTTTATAACTAAAGTATTGACAAGTAAACGATACGCCCCAACCAGTCTGTTCGCAGATGTTGAAATTGATTTAATATAATAAGACTGGCTTCTTGATCATTACTGATTCCGTGTCATCAGTGAATTCAACTTGAACCTTGATCATTATTGATTTTGTGGCATAGTGAATACAACTGGCTCTTTTAAAAAGCAAGTGTAGAAAGAGGAAAAAGGTAAAGCGGAATAGAGACAGAGAGAAAGGAATTAATGAACATTTCTTATGGTTTCCAAAACACGCCAAACATCTCCTGCGTGATGATATATTAGACAACGAAATTAATTTGTAGGAAGCTGTTGAGGATAACCTCATTCTATGTCAAGCATTAGAAACATTAGAAATGAAGTATATAAGGAATCAAAATGCTAAAGGAATACAGTTAGAAATCTGAGTATATTCATAATTCATGTTGATTGCATGAACCTAGGCAAGTATTTTTACGTAGCAGCTTGCAAACACACTAACAATTGCAGGAACAAGACTCAGGTTTGTTTGCAAATTTGAAACAAATACTGTACAAACGATGATCAGCCTTTTTTTTTTTATTAGTTCTGTTAGGTCTCGAACCCTGGACCCAAGTGGTGAGAGGCGTGACTCTCACCACTGGGCTACCCCGTAGGTACGATGTACTAAGCCTAAATGCTTAGTACATCGTCAGCCTTATAGTCAGTCTCTTGCACACTTTGTGCTTGATCGTCCACTTAATATGGAATATAGAAAGAGTATTATAACCTGCTGTTTGAGACATGTCTCGGTGTCTTATGAATGAACAAATACAAACTGATTGTAAACAAATCTCAAATTTGCATGTAATCGATAAAATAATATATAGAACATATTTGTACATGAATGGTATACGGTACCGACAAGATGGAGAATTAGACACATGTGCAACATCTGGGTATGTTTTTTTTTTTGTAGACGTTTCGCCCTCCAGTGGCTTTATCAATACAAATTCTCCAAGACTAGCGTACTCTTCACCTCGTCTTTTGTATATAGTTCTACAGTTTTTCTATTATGTCCTTGAATTTGTATTGATAAATGGAGAAACGTCTACAAATACAAATACCCAGATGTTGCACATGCGCCTTAGTAAATATTAATCCAGCGTATTAACCCCTTTTGGGTCTAGTTCCCAAGCCATTCTTGTGTCCATAAGTTCTTGCCTGCCGTCCACAGGTTGGATATCGGTTTCACAACTCATCACTTAATAAAGCTCTACAGACATCGTGACGTTTTCCCAATAAAATCTTGTTCTGCAACTTGTGTCTTCTTTGTTTTCATACTGTATTTGTTGGCAGTGCATTATCTCATCCATCATCGCTATTTAATTCCTATAACCATTACTTTTACTCCACAGAATGGCGACAGACCGCAACACACGGATGACGACCCCTCACAGCAGGCTGCCGTCGCTCCCTCTTCTAGCGAGAGTCCCTCACCTGAGGGAGTTGCGCCCCATTGCGATCACGATCTGGTAAATTTCCCAACGGAACCCGATGTGTGTTCGCTGGGTTCCAGCGTCTACGACAATGTTCCTCCGGACGGGCCGCGAAGGAGGAGTTCGGACACTTACCCAGCTGATGACCAGTACTCCCTCTGTTCCAACCGCAGCAGCGGCTCCCGCGTCTACACCCAGGACTACCTCCGTCCACTGACCCTGGTGGGTGCGCAGCAGCAGGCCACGCCGCAGCTGATCCAAGACACCCTACATGCCCTCCCACGTCACTCCCAGCAGCAGTATCTGCTGCGTCTGGCACAGGCGCAACAACTGGCTCAGCAGACACCACAGAAACAGCATAATCAACGTATATCACATCAGTTACAGCACAGCACACAACAAGCAGATCCAAAGAACGAAGAGTCATCGCAGCACCAGCACAGCCTACAAGGGTCACAGAAGAATAAATATAACCCACAACAGCCACAGAATAAACAACACTCTGTTAAACACCAACTTCACTCACCGGTATTACAACACCAACATAACCCACAACAATCACACAACTCGCAACAATCATATAATCCACAAAAATCATCGCACTATCCGCACACATCACACAATTCACAAATATCACACAATTCACAAGCCTCGCATAATTCACAAGTAATATACAAAGCACTAGAACAAAGCGAGACACTTCAACAAGCACCAACACATCACCAACAGAACCACCAGACACAACACCTCCAACAGAACCACCAGACAGAACACCTCCAACAGAATCACCAGCTACAACACCTCCAACAGAACCATCAGTCACAACACCTCCAACAGAACCACCAGACACAAAACCTCCAACAGAACCACCAGACACAACACCAACAGAACCATCAGACACAGAACCACCAGACACAGAACCACCAGACACAACACCTCCAACAGCGTCGACACTCAGCACAACATTCATCTCACCTGCGTTCACAATCATTGCATCAGAAAAAACAGTCACTTGTTCAGGGAGCGCCGCCACAGGGTCGGCCAAGCCCAAAGTCACTTCAGCAACAGCACTCAAGTCCGCCATTGCATCAACAGCAACAAGAGTCAAGTCCGCCATTGCTGCAGCAGCAACAGTCAAGTCCGCCATTGCATCAGCAGCAACAAGAGTCAAGTCCGCCATTGCATCAGCAGCAACAAGAGTCAAGTCCGCCATTGCTGCAGCAGCAACAGTCAAGTCCGCCATTGCTGCAGCAACAACAATCAGGTCCGCCATTGCACCAGCAACAACAATCAAGTTCGCCATTGGAGCAGCAACAACAGACAAGTCCGCCATTGCAGCATCCCCAACAACAGACAAGTCCGCCATTGCACCAGCAACAACAATTAATTCCTCCACTGGGGCAACAACAATCAAGTCCATTATTGCAGAGACGGCAATCAACTTCGCCACTGCAGAAACAACGATCAAGTCCACCACAATCATCCCCCCACACAAGTAGCCCGCAACAGTCACCACAATCCAATTCACATTCACCTCGACAATCGCCCCAGCTATGCTCTCAGTCATCTCAAGACAAACACCAACTACGTCTCCAACAACCACCAACACCATTTCAACATCTGCCACTCGACGCTCTGCATGAACCACCAACATACTCTAACTTGAACCCTACGGAACTCTTCTCATTAAATCCTGACAATTATCACGTGGACTACAGACAAGCGTTCACTACAGGTAAGATAATTGTGTTATTTTTCCAGAATTTTATACGGAGTTAAAGAACATAAAGACACAATACCGTAACTGGAATTATACACAAATAACCGGCACATAAGAGAGAGGAACTTATGATGATGTTTAGGTCTGACTTGAAGCATTAACTAGTTACACTAACACACGAAGGTAAGGGGGACAGTATATATACGAGAGAGAGCGGGACGGGACAGAGGAAGATCATGGTACACTACGCCCGTCTGGTATAACGAAGAGTCTAGCCTCCAGAACTACACTGTGGAATTGTATTAAAATATGACTATTACGATTTATGAACAGTCTGCAAAATGTACAAAACAATCATTGTGAAAAGATTGTGAAATTCCAAGGCTATCGTGATTTCTCACATTATCAACGAAAGCGCTTGTCATTTCACTAGTTTTTCACAGTGATTGTATTGCATATTGTAATGTCACCTGTTTGCTGTGATCTTATTGCATTTGTAAAATGTATATATAAAAAAGGGCCTTGACTCCGATTTTCACAAACATTTACAGTAGCTAGGTGATCCCGTGGCCTGGCTGACAAAGCTCTCGCTTCACATACGGAGGGCCCGGGTTTGATTCCCGGTGGGGTAGAGACATTTCAACGTGTTTCCTTACACCTGTTGTCCTGTTCACCTAACAGCAAGTAGGTTCGTGCGTGTTATTCAACTGGTGTGGATCGCATCCTGGGGGACAATATTGAGGATCACAATGGAAATAAGACAGAGTCATCGAAGAAGCACTGACTTAGGTTACCCTGGGTGGCTAACCCTCCGGGGTTAAAAATCCTAACAAAATCTTATCTTATAAAGAAACTTACACAGAATGCAAGAAACTTTACATAAACAGAGTATTAACAAATATATAACACATCACATCTCGAAAAAAATGAATTACTAATAAAATTGAATATCGTCTTTTATTAAAAGCCTAAACCAATATTTATAAGCGTAGAAAAATGTGTTTATTTTGACGTAAGGAATACTGGCGGCTGTACGTAGAAAAAATGTTTATTTTGACGTAAGGAATACTGGCGGCTGTACGTAGAAAAATTTTATTTTGACGTAAGGAATACTGGCGGCTGTACGTAGAAAAATGTTTATTTTGACGTAAGGAATACTCGCTGTACGTAGAAAAAGTTTATTTTGACGTAAGGAATACTGGCGGCTGTACGTAGAAAAAATGTGTTTATTTTAACGTAAGGAATACTGGCTGTACGTAGAAAAATGTTTATTTTGACGTAAGGAATACTGGCGGCTGTACGTAGAAAAATGTTTATTTTGACGTAAGGAATACTGCGGCTGTACGTAGAAAAAATTTTATTTTGACGTAAAGAAACAGGCGGCTGTAAAGTAGAAAAATGTTTATTTGACGTAAAGAATTTCTGCAGGCTTGTACGTAAAAAATGTTTATTTGACGTAAGGAATACGTGCGCTGTACTGAAAATGTTATTTGACGTAAAGAATACTGGCGGCTGTACGTAGAAAAATGTTTATTTTGACGTAAAGAATACTGGCGGCTATACGTAGAAAAATGTTTATTTTGACGTAAAGAATACAGGCGGCTGTACGTAGAAAAATTTAATTTGACGTAAAGAAACTGGCGCTGTACTAGAAAATTTTTTTATTTTGACTAAAGAATCTGGGCGCTGTACGTGAAAATGTTATTTGACGTAAAGATTACTGACCGGCTGTATAGTAAGAAAAAAATGTTTATTTTGTAGTAAGAGAAATGCGGCTAAAACAGAAAAATGTTTTTTTTGACGTAAAAGATACAGGCGGCTGTACGTAGAAAAATGTTTATTTTGACGTAAAGAATACTGGCGGGTGTACATCCCACTGATACAACAACTGGTATAAACATTGATAATCAATACCGACAAACTGGTTAGAAGTGATCAAGGTTCCAAGACAAAAATATTTTCTGATAAATGTTTTATAGTGTCTACTCACATATCTTTCTAAACCAGTGCAACTCTTGCTGAGATGGTAGCTCTCTACCTGACAACTCTTACTGAGATGGTAGCTCTCTACCTGACAACTCTTACTGAGATGGTAGCTCTCTACCTGGCAACTCTTACTGAGATGGTAGCTCTCTACCTGACAACTCTTACTGAGATGGAAGCTCTCTACCTGACAACTCTTACTGAGATGGTACTCTCTACCTGGCAACTCTTACGAGATGGTAGCTCTCTACCTACAACTCTTACTGAAGGGAAGCGTCTACCTGTCAACCTTACAGATTGGATAGCTCTCACCTGGCAACTCTTACTGAGATGGTACTCTCACCTGGCACTCCCTACTGAATGTAGCTCTCTACCTGACAACTCTTACTGAGATGGTAGCTCCTACCTGGACAACTCTTACTGAATGGTAGCTCTCTACCTGACAACTTACTGAGATGAAGCTCTCTACCTTGCAACTCTTACTGAGATGGTACTCTCTACCTACAACCTTACTGAATGTAGCTCCAACCTGACACTTACTGAGATGTAAGCTCTCTAACCTGGCAACCTTTACTGAATGGTAGCTCTCTACCTGACAACTAACTGAGATGGAGCTCACTCTACCTCGCAACTCTTACTGAGATGGAAGCTCTCTACTGACAACTCTTACTGAATGGTAGCTCCCCTACCTGACAACTCTACTGAGATTGAGCCTCTACCTGACAACACTCTTATGAGATGGTTAGCTCTTTTACCTGACAACTCTCAATGGTAGCTTTCTACCTGACAACTCTACTGAGATGGGAGCTCTTACCTGGCAACTTTACTGAGATGGTAGCTCTCTACCTGGCAACTCTTACTAGATGGAAGCTTCTGCATTTCTAAGTAGCTACTCAACTCTTACTGAGATGGTAGCTCTCTAAACCCTCACAACTCTTACTGAGATGGAAGCTCTCTACCTGACAACTCTTACTGAGATGGAAGCGCTCTACCTGACAACTCTTACTGAGATGGTAGCTCTCTACCTGACAACTCTTACTGAGATGGTAGCTCTCTACCTGACAACTCTTACTGAGATGGTAGCTCTACCTGACAACTCTTACTGAGATGGTAGCTCTCTACCTGACAACTCTTACTGAGATGGTAGCTCTCTACCTGACAACTCTTACTGAGATGGAAGCTCTCTACCTGACAACTCTTACTGAGATGGAAGCTCTCTACCTGACAACTCTTACTCAGATGAAAGCTCTCTACCTGACAACTCTTACTCAGATGAAAGCTCTCTCCCTGACAACTCTTACTCAGATGAAAGCTCTCTACCTGACAACTATTCACGTAGTTTACAAAACGTACATACGGTAACAAAATTTACGATGCATGTGAGAGACGGGTTCGAAATTAAAGATAATTGAGCCTCCACAGTTCCTTGAAGTGAACGCCCTAGTCGAGTTTAACGATTCATGAAAGCCAATATATTCTGTGAGTCAACTGGGATTCAGTACAGGAGGGCGCCTTTCATACGGCGTGTTTGGTGCCCTGCTATTTCTGTAAAGCGAAAATCACTGTCAAGTGAAACAGCCTTTTATCACTTTCAAATGGATATAAAAGCCTGATAACATGTTTATAGTATCGTATTTTAAGTGAGTATTGGAGCTAAGCTTAAAAAAACTTCATATATGGTACGCACATTACATATTTTAAAATATTTTCGTCCTTAGCCTTATAGTGAGTGAATGTATTTATTTTAGGAAGTCTGGATAAATGAAGAATGGGTATCTCTGAAAAAAGTAGCTGTATTAGCGAATCGTCATAAAACGAAGCGCTGTAAAGCAGGACACTCTTCTACACTGAAGGACTGTGAGGAAGCCATTACTGGCCAAATTATATTTTCGAATTTTTCGGATTTGCGAATCATATGTTTACATCTTTTAAAAAGAGAGTTTTCTTTTTTTAAATTATTTCGGATGGGGATTACAGCAGAATTATGTTCAGAAAATTTTGAACACTTGAAAACACAGTCGATACGATGATTATCTTGCGTGAGAGAGGACTCGCGTTCAGCCCCCGGTAATCTTTGCCCAATTTCTTACTTCCACGAAGTGGTGGAAAAACATCACTTGATTTTTTCTTAGTCTGATGTTCACATTTCCAGACTGGAGAAGAAATTTTGTCGTTTAGGATCGTTTCTTGATAATTATCCCGGATGTACGAGAAACATCTTCCAGCTTTCATCCTTAATTTGTAGATTAGTTGCTAATTCGTCCAGCCATGACATTATGATACTACTGTTCTCATTTGATGTTGCTTACACAATGTATAAGTTGCATATAAATAATCATGAATTAGACACTTGTGCAACAAACACTTGGGTATTTTTACTGTTTAAACGTTTCGTTAACCAGTGGCTTCCTCAGTCCAGTGCAGAGAAGAATAGTTGAAGATAAGAAGGAGAATGAAGTAATCAGTCCCTTAGCCTGGAGTTGATATGATCAGTCCATCAATCTTGATAAGTGGACAGTTTATCAGGTGGATATGTTACATTTGTGTCTTATTCATTAATTTGATGGTTATAAAGTATTATTGTATTTATAAATAATAGTATTAATTACGACTCTGTTATGAACACAGGTGGGAGCCCAGCAGGGTACAGTACCCTGGACTCTCGTCGACGTCGCCAGACTCCTGTACACTTCGCTACACTCCAGCGGCCTCGCTCGTCTCATAGGGGTGAA